TAAAAAAAGTATTTTATTTTAATTAACTATTATTGTTCTAAAAGTAAAAGCAGATTACTACCATCTTTAATTAACTACCATATTAATCTTATAATTATACCTTTAATTGATTTTTAAGTATTCAAGTTTATTTATACAGTTTTAAATATACTTTTAAAATTGATAATAAGTTTGCCATTTCATGTTACCATAGCTTAATAATGCTAAAAATGTCACAATAAATCTCACTTTTTAATAGAAATAATAGATCAAGACCCTTGACTCTTATTTTCAACAAAAAGTGCCATATTCAAAAATCTTTTTGCAAGAGAGCTGATGATCTCCTACTTTTATTTAAAAGTTAAATATAATGTGACATACTTTATGGATGATCCCTCAGAGTTATTGATTTGTAATTTTAAGGAACTCTTTTTTTTATGAAACATAGCAGGTGTAAATATCAAGAATATCTGAGATAGTCACTCAGGAACTATGCTATTTATGGTACACTAACAAATTGCTTTTTTTATAATTAAATTCTTAATCAAATTCTGCTCAATGAAAAACAAACAAATAATATTTCAAGTGAACAATAACAAATATTTATTAAATGTTTAGTGAATACTATAACTGTCATAGTAGTTTAAAACGATATTTACTCTTAACATTTTTCAATAAATATGCCTTGTTTTTTCAGTTTTAGCATATGATTAATTTATTTTCAGATATTTTGCCTGACTGTAAAAACATGTTAAGTTAAAAAATTTTAATTGTTCTTAAAGTTGTTAATTAAAAAAGCGCACAGAAAATTCTGAAAATGATGAGAGGCTTTACTAATTTAAAAATATTGTATATAAAAATAAATGTTATTATAATTAATACGTAATTTAACGCTGCTGCTGCTGCCCATTTATGCGCGTTTACACTGACTTTTTTTTTACCATTTATTATAAATAGGGTTTAGCATGCTCCTTCTCTTTATACTTTTGAACTCATGCGATGAGATGCTCTCTAATGTTAATAATCTGTTAATATCTGCTTAATTAGTAATAAGATCAAAAACTTTGGTTTATCAGCCTAATTAGTAATAAGATCGACAATTTTTACTTGATAACTTCTGTAGTAAAGAATGAATCATATGTTATTTTTGAATTAGTAAAGTAACTTTTAAAGTCAGGTAATTTATTTAATTCATGCATTATAATAATAACACAATTCAATTCCTTTGTCAAATGTATTAAAGTATATTAATCTGTAATTTTTAAATTAGAAGGCAATGATTACTGTAGAAGACGTTCCTCTTTTCAAAGATCAAGAGGTCAAACACTTGATAAAATTAATGTTTATCTCCAAAACCTTTTCATCTTTCAGTCAACCAAATGTTACATGTTAAAGAACAAGATTGTTTAATACCTTATTTTAAAGAATTTTAAAAAAAATTATTTGCTTTTATAAAAAAACCATATTGTTTGATGGCTTCCTTTTGACAAATAGCTCCTCCCTATTTAAAAATTTAAGAGTCTTTATTTCCTTCATTGAATATATTTCACTTAAATTTATTGTTTTTTTTTTATGTGGTATGTGTACTAAGTGTTACATAAGTTTTATCAACTTTCATTTTTTTTAAAGATTTTTCGTATAGAGAGTGTTTTATTCATAATAATATTTTAATGTTTTATATATTGTCTTTTTTTCTTAAAAATATTAAATATCTAAAAAAAAATTAAAACAGTTCAAGAGGTTTCAATATTTTCAAGTTTCCCCACTTGAAGCTAATATGTGATTGTTTATAGAGGTTTTTGTTAATAGTTTTGTATTTACTTATTAATTGCTAATCTTGCATTAAATTGAATAAGATTTTTTGACAAAGGATTGCATTTCACCATTTAATGCTAGCAGTATTTGCTGAGCAGACAGCCCTTATAATTTTTTCAATATGCTTTATTTAGTTCTTGTCAATAATTATTAATAACAACATTAAATATATAACATTACTCAGTTAAAAAGATTATATCAATTTATTTATAACTTTTGTTTAAGTTCTTGATAGAAACATGTTATCTTTACACATTGCTATTGTATTATAAAGCTGTTGTGTCATTAATAAAACACTGTACTATATTTAAATATATATATATATTCTTATAAGTAAGCCATCTTTATTATATATTTTTAATATAGCCACGTATGTATATATATATAAAAACATTGTTCCTATTTGTCCGCATATGACTAAGGTTCACGGCTTCACATCCCTGAAACGTATTGGCTTTTGCCCCCTTGTCGACCGTGTACTTCTTCGATCCTGGTTAGGTTCTCCTTTAGTAACACGTAGTTCGGGCATATCAGATTTATCACTATTGCAAGGATCGATTTTCTCATTATTGACATGATCATTCCGCATACTGTCTTCATTATTCATAAGTATACTAGGCTCATTTAGGCGTTTGTTTATTTGGTCACAGTGTGCTAACGTACCTGAAGAGTTATTCCTTAATATGATTACAGTATTTAGACCTGCCTGAGAGATGAATGAAGCAGGTTCAGGTTTGGAATCTGGTCTTTGGCGGTACCATAACAGTGTTCCACTTTCGAAACTCATGGTGAGAGGGGATCTCAACTGCCTTCCCATCATCTCGGATGGACTCCTTGATCTTCCTGCATGAGGTATTGTTCTGTAACTTAAAAGCATTCTGCTTAAATATCAGCATAATAAACCTTTGTCCGGTGAATAAGCTCTTAAACCTATCTTGACTGTCTCTACCATTCTTTCAGCTGCTCCGTTAGATTGAGGATGGTAAGGTGGAGTCTTATAAGGCACGCAACCGATTTTCTTTAGCCATTGGTGTAAGGTGGTATCATGAAATTCCACAGCATTGTCAGATATTAAAACCTCTGGAACTCCATTTCTTGAAAAAACATTTTGTAGTACTGCCTTTACAGTGGCTGCTTCACGGTTATTTACCTTAATAACTTCCGGCCATCCAGAAAAAGAATCTACTAAAATCAAAAACAGTCCGATACCCTGTACATGGGCATGATCCATATGTACTCTACACCAAGGTTTATTTTCACTTGGCCATGTATGTAATGTCCTTTCCTTCTTCACTTTTATTTCTGCACATTTTTCACAGTTTTTCACATAATCTTCAACATCTTGACAGTAGCCAGGCCACCAGGCCTCCAATTTTAATCTACATCGCGTTTGCATTATGCCACAATGTATATCATCATGGATCCATTTGATGAAGATCTTTCTCATTGTCTTAGGAGGTACAATAAGATCATCATTACATACAATTCCTTTTTTGATAGTCAGTTTATTCCTAATAGATTTGTTGGGTCTTTCTGTTACCAAGCATCTGCTCCAGATGCTCGGTAACAGAAATAAATCTTATAAAACGTGAAGCTTCGCGTAATCTTTGTGCATATGATAATGTTTTCATTGTTCTTTGTGCATATGACAATGTTTTCATTGTTTTGCTGTTTTAATGCTAAAAATCGAAAGCTTTAAGTAATAATTAGTCATTTTTGAGGCCTCAAATGGAACATAACAACAGTTTTAATATCATCGAACATCATATTCTCTAATTCTTCTGGATATACCATAAGGGAAATCTTTTTAATTGCTTTAATGCCTGCTTTTGCCATAAATAAATCTGTTATCTCGTAGCTACCGTTTATCTCATCTTTTAATTTCTTTGAACGCGCGGATGCTGAAAAACATCTAATCCATGCTTCTGCATTGTCTGGATCATCTAAAGTCAAATCGGACCCTACTCGCAGCGCCATTGTTGTGTCGTTAATAAAACACTGTACTATATTTAAATATATATATTCTTATAAGTAAGCCATCTATATTATATATTTTTAATATAGCCACGTATGTATATATATATAAAAACATTGTTCCTATTTGTCCACATATGACTAAGGTTCACGGCTTCACAAAAGCATCTAATTTAAGTATGACTAATAGTAGAGGTATAATATAATTAGATTATTTTATTATATTCTGTTTTATTTGCTTACACTTTATTTAAGATAAGGTTAGAAAGAAAACTAAAAGTTCACACTCCTTTGATGCTTAGTTATGTCTGATAATTAAAGAAGTAAAATTATAAGGCTTTGTTGAAATTAAAGAAACCAGGCTAGGCAAAATGAATTTAACCCTCACTAAAATGAAAGGGATGAGCTTAGGCTAGCTGAGGTAAATTGTCGTTTAAATGAAAGAGATGAGTCTAGGTGAGCTGAAATAAACTTCCGTAGAAATGAAAGATATCAGGATAGCTGTTATAATTCCTTTTTATCTTTTGCTTTCTTCACAGCCAAAATACAACATCCCACAAGTAATTACCTTTTTGTTTTAAAGTTTATGGGCAAATTTTGACTTTTATACAAAATAGACTAATTTATATGCCTGCAAACATTATTGAATAAATATTCTCAAAGAATTATGAAAATAATCATAAAAAGTTTTAGTTTCAAAAAATGTTCCTCTAATAATTATTTTTTAGTTTCATTTCAAATATTTTTATGTGTCATATGATGTGGTATTGTGTGTTTTTATTATGTGTTATATAAGGCTATATGGGTTTATATTTTGTTAGTGTTTCTATGTGTGTGATCTTAGTAGTTAAATTATGAACAATAAACTCTGGATAACTCAATAACCCTTGAATTGAACTAATTTTAAAATTTCATTTGAGCCTTTATTTATGGATTATTTTGCCAATAACTCTATCATTCCTTAACATGCTAATTTCTTGGTCCCCTTTATGTTTTGAGTAATTTAGAGTTGTAATATGTACTGTAATATGTTATGTTATTTGTTTATTTTGTGATGTTATTGTTGTGTTGATAGATTAGATAACTTGGTTTACTTTCACATCAGGGTCTTTAATTTAAATTGATTATTGGGTAGTTTCATTACTGAAACTGACTACATATAATCATTCGCTAAAGATTCAGTTTTCAAATAAAAAAAAAATGTGTATCGTATTGTGATCATTTATTTTTAGCCTTTTGAATTGAATAGAGTTGTTTATCCAAACTTGCAACAATAAACCTTGAAACTTTCACAAAAGATAAACAACCTCACAAAGTATGTTTCTTATTTATTATCTGTTTAATCATATTTTTGAGTTTTCAATTAAAAATAGAGTACATAACAAATTAATGTGTATTAAGTGTATTCAATAACAATTTTGTTCCATTTTTAGGTCGAATTCCTTTTCCTATGACTGATTTTGAAAGTTCCTACATAGCAGTATTTAAGAAATGTTCTGAATGTTGATTGTATTCAAAAAGCTAAAACGAAGCTTGATAATCTTCATACCATTTAATAAAGAAATAATAATGAAAAAATGTTTTAATTTAAATTGTTTTTATAAGTATTTTTGGATACTTTTTTATGTTTAATAAAAAAAAATTTTGTAGTTAATTTTTTTATTTTATCCTAAATTTTCTATATTTTTTATCTTTGGAATTATTGTTTTGAATGGATATATTGGCAATTTTTGCTTTTGTTTTTTATATTTCTATTATCTTTTTATATGTGAATGGAAACTATTTATATTTTTATTACCTTTTGTACAATCAAGATGGTTTCCATTTGCATTAAGTATAGATTTCACAAACAACTGGTTTAAAATTTATTTGCATTATTCTGCAGTAAAAACAGCTTAATTGTACGAATTTGTTAAGAGTTTTTTTACAGAAAGGCTTTTATAAAAAATATCTAACAGATACAACTAATTTATTTGAAATAACTAGGTCTCTTGGGCCCATTTTTCAATGTCCAAGTTTTCATATAATAAATCCTCATGAGAGAGTCATTATCATAGGCATAGTTTCCAAAAACACCTGAGGAAATGTTATGCAACTGTCTTATATGCTAAAGATATTAAAATAAATAAGTGATAATTTAAAAAGTAAAATTACTAAATAGTTCTTAGGTATAGTAAATTAAGATAACCAGAAGAACTTTAGGTAGTTAGTAAAATGCAAACTGCGTACTTTTTAGCGAACCAAGACATTTTAATGACCACAGCAGTCATGATATTTAAAACATATGCTCATCAATTTTTAAATATATTCGATATATTTTATTTAAATTAGACTTTTCTTTTTAATTAACTATAATTTAACAAGCAATAGATTTATTGTTTGCATTTTACCAACTACCAGAACTTTAAATTGATTTATTTGTTGTCTTTTACTAAAATAAAGTTTAAAGAATAAATTAGGAACAAGTTTAGAAATAGTCGGGTGTGGGATTAGACTTACTGTGGGGTGTGAGATTAGACTTACTGTGGGGTGTGGGACTAGACTTACTGTGGGGTGTGGGATTAGACTTACTGTGGGGTGTGGGATTAGACTTACTGTGGGGTGTGGGATTAGACTTACTGTGGGGTGTGGAATTAGACTTACCATGACCCGTATTGTACGAGTCATGACAGCTAGTTTTTATTAATAATAATAAAGATAAACAAAAATCCATTTTTAAACAAAATAATATAAAATGTAATCAAGAATTCATCTTTACATTAAAATCACTTAAATTATTTTTGTATGTTGTTTTTTACTTTGAATTTATACTTTTAGAAAAATGTCATATGATCACAATAAAGCTGAATACTGTGATGTAGTTAAACATTCTCATGATGAAGACAGACATCATAAAGCAAAAAATCACAAGCATGTTGAAAGTGATGAACCAATTGAAGTGACTTTTGAAGATGTGAGTGCAGCTGCATTTAGAATAAAAAATGGAATAAGAAAGACAATATGTGAGGTATGTAAAGTAAATTGTTTTATAACAGAAACATTTTCTGCTTTTTCCAAAAGATTTTGTCTAAAAGGTTTTCTAAAAGATAGTAGTGGGATGTAGTTAACATCTGCTCAAAATATACATCAATTCACCTATTTATCCTGAAATCAGGTTCAAATCTTTTAATAATCTTTTTAACGCCACTGACCCTGCTGGCAATAAAACCTATAATTTTGCATTTCCTTATCTCTTATATAGATAGTTAACTTTGTGACTCGTTTTCCTGACAACCCTAATCATTTACCTTCACTCCATAATTTATGTCTTGTTTCTGATCCTAGCTTTTGTTCAGTGTCTCCTTTTTCTCCCTTAAGTGGTTCTGACCATGCAATAATCTCTATAAATCTTTCATCTTGTACTTCTTTTTAGGACTCACTCTATCATCGCACTTCTTACTATTACCCTAAGGCTGATTGAGATCCTTTTTTTGATGGTTTTTGGGTTGGCGTCTTGTCTCTTTTAGCTGGTAAATGCTCTTCCTATGTAACCTGATTTCATGCAGTAATGGAAGCTTTTATTCCTTCTCGTCTGTTCCAAATTCTACTTCATTCATCTTTTTCAAAAAAACAACTCTCTTAAGAACAGCTATTCATTATTACAAGAAATTGATGTTAAATGGTGCTGTATGATTCTAAGCTCCATTATTCTCAGTTTACCAAAGTTAGGCTCTAGAGACTTAAAGAAAATCTTCAACAGCAACAAGGGTAGGCCTAACATTCTATCTCTCATTTTAATACTTATAAATGCTTTATTATCAGCAAGTGCAACCTTTATACTGTAATTACTCTTGTAAACACTGTATTTATATACATAATGGTCTTTAGGACATACCCAAAATCGATCAATCTGTTTTTGTAGCAAGTTGGTTATTTATTATTTTTTTAAAACATTTAGCAAGTTATTATAAATGTTATTGAAATATGTACAGGGGTGCGCAGGTTATCGAAGAAAAATAAAAATATTTATATCTCAAAAATGGCTTTTATTTTCAAAGTAAAACTTTTCACAATACTAAATCACATATATTTTTACTCAAAAACACGAATGAATTTCAAAGTAGCCTCCTTTGGCATCAATGACACTCTTCAAACACTCTGGAACTGACTCACAGCATCGTCGCACCATGTCCGGACTAAGATTCTTCCAGATCTTCTTCAATTCGTTTCGGAGGGCTGCCAAATTTGGATATGTTTTGGCTGCCTTCTTGGTCTCCATGACACTCCATATAGCAAAATCACATATCTGGGGTCCAAAGGTGCGGAACATTTTCTTTCAAGAAGCCGACAGTTTTCTTTGCACTGTGTGCTGGTGCACTATCCTGCATAAAGGCCCATGGATCGTCCCCAAACTTCTTTTTGGCCCAAGGAATGAGGTTAGCTTTGATGAAGTCGACATAGGTCACCTGGTTGACTTTTACACCTTCAGGAACAAAAACAAGGGGAGTTTTTGACCCATCAGAGCACACACCTGCCCAAACCATGACGCCCACAGGGTGCTGTCTCTTCAGAATAGTCCTCAGTTCTAAAGGAACTGTTCTTCTGGACTTACCAAGAACTCTGTCATTGTATCTGTTGGGTTCTGGTTCAACTGTGAAAATTTTTTCATCACTGTAAACGATAGGGATATCTTTGTGGTCTTTGAACCAATTTAGTGACTCTTTTGATCTTTTGCGTCTTTTGGGTCTAGTTGTCTCACTCAGAAGTTGTCTTTTTGACTTGACAAGGCTCTTCATACCCAGATCATCGTGGACAACACGTTGCATAGTCCTTCGAGACACACCTGCTTCTCTAGCTAAGGATGAAATTGACCTGTTTGGGTTTCGTCGTACTTTGCAGTCGATCGAATTTCGAAGTTCTTTAGTTCTCGCATAACGATTTGGGCCTGTTTTTTTTCTTTTGTAATTTTTTCCAGTTTCTAAGTCTTTTAAGAGTCTGTAGACGTTGGAATTATGAAGCTGTCCCTTCACGGCTTTGCAAATTTCAACTTTTTTCACACCACGTTTTCATAGATCAAATACAAGTTTTCTTGCATTTTCATTTTGCGTGCTGTCAAATCATGCCATTTTTTACAACTAAATTAGTGAAAAACGGCATTTTTTAAGGATTAACTTGTTGAACTGTGTTGCATTTTCCCGCCAAAAATGTTTTTCACTGTATATCATATTTTTTGCCGCAAAATTTTTGTTTTCATTTTTTTCTGCGATAACCTGCGCACCCCTGTATTAAAACATTAAATTAGTTAAATACTTATAAAGGAAATAAAAATCATTCTATTAACTAAATTTCAAGACATTACTAGTTATTTAGTATCTTTATTCTCCTCTCGAATGTCTGTATTCTTTTATATTGGTATTTGATCTTTTATTTTTTAAAGCTTATGTTGTAAACTGCAAAAAAAAAAAAATACAAAGCCACAAGCAAAATACTATATATAAAAATTAAACTTTATTTACAGTTTAGAAATGGAAAGTTGTCAGGCAAAAAAAAAATGCTACAGTTTACTAGATTTGTCCTTCAGTGCATACAACTTTAAAACTTAAAAAAAATTAAGTTATGTGCAAGCAAGCTTGCAACATGTTTGCTCATTCAATGAGAGAACATGTTGAAGACTTGTATGCATTTCACAAAGACAAGATTTGTTGGTAAAAATGACACTCGTGCTCATCTGTCTTTTGACAGGTTTTGAATATTTTGCATTAGCTACAAGTTTACAACATGTACCACCAACAGGGGTGACTATGAACAGCGGGTTGAAAATTAACATCAGTATCAAGTTGCTAAAAGGTGAAGAAACACACACACAATAGAGCTATATAATGTGTTACTTTGATTCAGTTTGCAATTTGCATTGCAAAACTGAGCCGGTAAAACATCTTCAAGGAAAAAAAAAAACTTGGTGGCGAAGACACTGTAATGGTGCTTAACAAATTTACTTTATATATATTTAGAAACAAAGTTTAGGCAAAAATCCATTTTTTGCCAGTCCAGTTGATCAGGCCGATAACTTTTCCAGGAAGCTGGACAGTATAATGTTCTGATAAAAAAAAAATGTAGTGATTAGGCTAGCAGTTTTCTTCTATGATACAAAAATGTTTAAAAAGTGTTCATAGTCATCCTGATTGATAATAACTTATAAGGTTGCAACATCATGTTGCAAACTTGTTGATTACATGTTGTAAACTTGTGCAAAGTAGTTTTTGAAATGATATGTTGAACATGTTAGTAAAAAAAACTAGTTTGCAACATTTATATTGTCTTACCAACTTTGAATAACTCAATTGTCATGATTTTTACACTGATTTTTTTTTAGTCAAAAATATTCTGAACATGTTTTTAATTTAGAGCAATTAATTAACATCATTTATAGTTGATGGAGTCCCTTTTTGCACTATAGGTAAAATGTGCTAGTAGACTAGTAGTAAAACATTTGGCTCGCAACCAGAAGGTTGGGGTTCAAATTACTTCTGCTGAAATTACTCAATCTATTTCTCCACACAGCGCCTTTGTTTAAAAATTTTAGTTGTTAATGTTGTTTGTTAGTAAAAATGGTAATGTTAAGGATTGAGACAAAATATTTTTAAAAAATGAGTTGCTCCCTTGACTGAAATGGAGCAATAGGGAGGTGAATTTATGAAATTAAAAAAAAAAAATATTGTACTCATACAATTATAAAAATTTTGTATTTTGATCGATTTTTAAAAAAACCCAAAAAAACCTATTTGGGTTGGGTTTTTTTAAAAAACCCTGGGTTTTTTCCAACCCTGGTAGCAACCCTCTTACTGAGTCCTCCTCTTATGTCTTCTTGGATCTCATATATTACTGACCTTTCATGGAAACCATATATATTGTTGGTTGCTAAATTAACATCAACTAAGGTTGCTTCTCTTTATCGTGCTCACCATTTTATTACTTCTAGTTCTATTTTCTACCTCTACAAATCTCTTTTTTGTCTATATAATATACTGTTGTCAAATTTGGCAAAAACACATTGTAAACGTTGTTGAACCCTCTATATCTGCCAAGCTTGAGATGCTCTTTCTATCCTTGTAAAGTTGGATCTCATTCTCTTTTCTACAGATACTATCATGGTTGCTGCTCAAAGGAGATTTCATCTCTAGTTCCATCAACTAAAATTCATTCTTGCTTTACTTGTCATTCAGCAAAGTCTCATTTGTTTACTGTATCTGATATTGCTTGCTCTAAAAACTTTAATTTGTCTTTTTTTTCCCCGCACTTTAACCTTTTTGGAGCTCTCTCCTATCTTCATGTTTTCCTGACTCATACAACCTACAACTCTTCAAGTCTTCTGTCAACCGTTTCCTTGCTCTATAACTCTTTTTTCTTCCTAAAGTAGCTCCCAACTTAATATTGGTTGCTTGCAGGCTTTGTTGGGAGTGATCAGATTACAAAAAATAAAATAAAAAAAAAGAATATTTTTATCAAGATAACATCTCTAGCCTTTATTTAACCAAGGTAGGGGACTATTTTATGTCTGAGTTAACTTTAACAGCCTTCAATTAGAAAAGCATATTCTGCAAGGCAGTATGATGTTGCAGCAGGTTGCTCTAGATTACATTTTATCAGTGGAAAGATGATCATATTCTTGATCTCATCAGAATTTATTGTATTATGTTACTAAATCTAATGAAATTATTCAATTATTTCTGAGTTTATTGAAATTACTGCAGCATTTTACTGCAAAAGTTTATTGAAACATTTTTGTTTAAGGTTTAATGAAAAAATTTGGTAATAGAACATTTATTAAAAATTTTAGTAAATGATTTCATGGTGTTTTTAGTCACTGAGTTCACAGTTGACTTGTTTTGTATTGCTAACAAAAAAATGGTTTTTATATTATCAACAGTTTCTTAGTATATGGAAATTTGATAAATTAACTTACAATACATAGAATTACGCTTTTTGACTAAATTATGCAACATTAATCCTGAAGTGTGACTTTATAGC